GAAGCTCTTTATTAATAAGTAGAGCAACTCCTCCACCCTTTTTACGAGATCTATCGCATCGAATAATATCATAAAAATAGCATAAATCACCTAGTATGGGGGCAATATCATTGGGTGTTTTTAACCAAGTTTCAGTTATTGCGATTATTTCTTTGACAAAAGAAGAAAAAACTATGCACAAATAGAGAAGGAAGCGCTAGGTATTGTGTATGGAGTTGAGGCGGCAGAAGATTCACCCTACTGACAGACCAGCCCTTGGTGAGAATATTCGAGCCAAAAAATGGAATACCCACGATAGCAGCTAAAAGATTGCATGGATCGGCTCTGAGATTAATGGTTTACTCATTCTATATTCAGTATCGAAAAACGTCAGAATTTGGTAATGTGGACGGGTTATCACGACTGCCCGACCCTCGTGAGTGACCAAGTGCAGAAATGGTGATTAGCGAGTTGCAAGTTGAAGCACAGGATCGGAGAACTTTTGTCGACTTGCCTCTGTCACAAGGAGAAATAGCGAAAGCAACCGCAAAAGATCCAGAGCTTGATCAGGTTTTAAGATATGTTAAGGAGGGTGGGCCGTCTAAAATAGAAGAAAGGTTCAATGCCTTCGCAACCAAACATTAGCAGTATCCATTTATAATGGATGCCTAATGTGGGAGAACAGGGTGATAACACCCAGGAAGTTTCAAAAAACGGTGTTACGAATGCTGCATGATAACCATCACATCATGAACCGTATGGTAAGTTTGGCTCGACGGAAAATTTGATATCCTGGGATAGATAAGGAGATAGCTCAGGTAGCTCGGACATGTGGAACGTGTGCAGTGTTTAGCAACGACCCACCAAATATACTGTTATACTTGTGGGAAGAACCAGCCAAACCATGGCAAAGGGTGCATACTAATTTTGCCAAACCCAGGGAGGAGAAAAATGGTTGGTAATGGTTGACGCCAAGTTTAAATGGCCAGAAGTAGTGCGCACGGGTGTGACCACGGCGGAACACACGATAGAAAGCTTAGAAGGATTTTTGCGTGCCATGGGCTACCAGAACAAATTGTTTCCTGAGGCCACCCCTTGCATCGTTGAAGTTCAAAGAATTTTGTAAAGGAAGGAACATTGAACTAATATTAATCTCGCCTTACCACCCAAATTCTAATGGAGAAGTGGAAAGATTTGTCCAAACTTTTAAAAGGGGATGGTGTAAAGGATTGCGTGATGGTAAGGAGCCAGGAAATATATTAACGGGATTGCTTTCGAATATATAGTTACCCCTCATCCAGCCACAGGGAAATCGCCGGCCGAAATTTCGTTGGGAAGAGAGTTGAGGACCACATTGGATGTGTATAAGACAAATGGGAAAGCATTGAGTAATCATAGCTACAGGGAACGAATAATGGCTGACTAGAAGGGGGAGAGTAGAAAGGCATTACGACAACAAGTATATATCCGTAACTATCAAAAAGGAGATAAGTGGATTCCAGGGATTATTACGCAGGTAGTGGGCAGGCGAATGTACGAGGTCCATTTCGGAAAAGGAAGCCGAAATGCGCACGCTGACCAATTAAAAGCGAGGATAACGCCAGAGGAGGACTACGCATTGGTGGCTGGTAGGAGAATGCCCGTGCAAGAGCAAGCCTTACCGTTAAGGTGGTCTAGTCGAACACGTAAGCCCACGGTTCGGATGAGAACTTACGTGGAAGAGAGGGAGAGACCTGTTCGAATAAGGGGCAGCGCAAAGGTGGTGGGTGTGGCAAGCCACGTGGATGGCAATAGTGTAGGAATGGGGAAGCGTGTAAACGCCTCAGTTATGTGGACGTACGTGCCAGCTACCCCTCCCTATCCCGCATCGCCGCCACCACCGCCACCGAGTACACCCTCGGCGCAAATGGCCCCGCTGCCGAGTCCGCTGATTGTAATTCAAGTCACTAGTCCTGCGCAAGGACAGGTGAGTGAATGTGACTGTTCGAAAATTGGTCTGGAGTTGGCAGGTGAGAGAGAGTTCAGAGTTGCCTATAAGGAGTGCCAGCGGTGTCAGCAGACAGAGCCGCTCGCAGAGCCAACCCGCCATTTCGTGGCGTGGGTGTTTACCGAGGAAGGGGAACTCGCCATCCGCGCCGAGGACGCAGGGATGCGTTGAGAAGAGAGCTCAGCGAGGTACGTCTGATGTGAACCCAACTCATGGCGAGGTTGGATAAGTCGGCTCAGCCGCGCGCAAGGAGGGAGGAGCAAGACCGCCCAATGGAATAAGTGATGAATTGTGTTGAATTTTTGATTGATTTTTGATTGTGATAAAGTGGTGAATAAAAGAGTTGTGAAGTATTGAAACTTTGGATGAGTGCAAAGTTGATTCAGGTGATGGACTGCTGCGATCACGAAGCAGTGATGGAATGAAGGATAAGGAGAAGATGAAGTAATCAACAATAACAGTACTATATAAACCCCTTGTGGTTGGTAATAAACAGTTCTACACCAGTGTCGTCTACTTCCTGAGTCTCTCGAACGCTCATTCCGCGCAAACTCGGTGTTCGTCGGGGTCCGGTCCTCCCACCACCATTGGTCTTCCCATCCTGCTGCCCCTACTCCTACCAATTTTGACTGCTCTAGATCCAAACTGGTAATTTTCGCGCAAACCCCACCTACTGTAGGACGCTACCCACAATGAGTGTTTCCGTCTTGCCCCTCCTGTCGTCGTATACTCCCACCACATCAAACGCTCTAGGTACACGGAAACAAAAGCCATGAATTTCTGCTCGAACCCCGCCCATTATGGGCGAGCTCCTCCTCTGACACCCACAATAAGTTTTTTCAACCCGCTGTCTGAACTCTTTCCAAATTCGAACTTGCTAGGTCGGCGGGGACAGGAGGTGTAATTTCCCGCTCGAACACTTGTTTCGCAAAGACTCCGCCCCTGTAGGCGGGATCTTGTCCAGCCACCCAGCATAAGCGTTTTCACTCTGTCTCGGGTACTCCTACCAAAGTTGAACGCTCTTGACCCACGAGGACAGGAGTTATGAATTTCCGGTTGGACACACACACACTTACCGACACCACAAACACACAAACACACAGGCACTAGCGAGTTATATTTACATAGTAGGATGTTCTCGCAAACTGAAAAATTTCCTTCCTTAGGCAGCTTCCAAATTACTTCATCCCTCCAGTCCTCCGGACATCTCCTCTATTCCAGCAACCATTATACAATTTCATGAGCGTTTTCACTGTCGCACTACCACCTGCCCTCAATAACTCTGCTGTGATTTCACTTGTGTCAGAGCTCTCCTGCTTTACGGGCACTGAATTGCTTTGGCTGTATCATGTGGGGTTATGCTGCCAATGTTGACACAAGCTTATGGTCGAATCCACCACGTCAAAAGGTCATTTCTTCCCTGACTCAGGCTGGTTGAGGATGTTTCGGAAGTGATCAAGTCATTTTTCACTATGTTCATCTGCGCGTTGCTCAAACTTCCCATCAATTCCTTACCAATGCGGTAAATGGTTTTTGAATCTCCATGTTCCGCAGCATTTTGGGCCGTTGGGTTTTTTTTGCAAGAATCAGGCTTGTTTCGGCGACAAGACCTTTTCACGAGATGATCCGTCCAGCACACCTTTTAGTTGCTTATGTGAGCTCGTTTCGCTTTTGACTTGCTCTCTCCGCAGCTTCAAATGTTTCCTCTCATGACTTTCTGCCAGATGTTTTTCTGGATCCATTGTTTTTTCCGTTTGTCTCGTCTCAGATTACCCACTCTCTGAGCGCATTCCTGAATAGCTCTTTTGACGGATTTCCATTCTTCTCTCAAAATATTCACCTGTGCTAGTAGTTCAAAGCGATTCCGCAATTTCAAAGCAAAGCTTGCAGGGATGGCCGGATTTTTCAGCTTCTACACGGCGAATGGCCAGGTTGACTTTCTTCTGTTTGTTTCTTCAGCCCATGCTCAATTGCCGCCTTCACCAAGTGATAATCTCAACCTATGTCTGCGCCTCGGAACACCGGAACGTCTTGATGAGGCGTTCTGCTCTCTCGCTGATGCAGATGAAGTTAACCTCGTTCCTTGTTTTCTTATCGGGCAAGCATAGGTTTTCTTATGAATCTGTTTGATCTGGAAGAGCGTATTTCCAACACATAGTGTATTCTGCTCTCAGAAATAAGCTGATCGTTTGCCGGAATGGCTCAGCTGTTCGATCGAGTCCAAATCGGTCATGGCACAATTTCGCATCAAAAACTTCTTCAACAAGCTTCAGATCTCCCCTCGATGTGTCGTCAGTAGTACCTTGAAGTGTTTCATGGAAGCTGGTTTTCGTTTCCTCAACCGTATCCTCCGTAGGGGTATATACTTGGCAGCCGTGATGCAAATGTGCTGTGATACGAATCGCGCAGTGTTAAGCTCTTACTCACCTGGGCCTATACAAGAAGAGCCGTTGCCGCTCTTGCTCAAAATGAAAACTATCCTCCTTCATGTCTGTCTTCCTAGCAAAAAAACGATGTAGACTTTTCATCGCTTCTTATACAACCTTAACCGGACCATGGGACTACGCCGGTCCCTAGTACATCCGTGAGGTAGTTACCGAACTTCAAGAGTAGTCGTGTACGGTTTCAAACTGATAGTTTGCGCACATCCCATGTTCCCCTAAAAGTTTTGTTCTCGGGTGAGAAACTTGGCATCGGAATGTTATCCGTTAGAAGGCGAAAGTTGGGCTCCCTCAATGCAACAGGGTTTGAATGTTTTCGCCGTTTCTTCGGCATGAAGAATTGATGATGATGGAATGGTTGCTTGATCTTCGCCCCAACCCTCCTTCTTTCTCAAGGCATGCGACCAGCGAAGTCAATAGCATGTTCAACTGTGTAAAGAAACAGATTAATTTCCAAATGTTGTACAATGAAAAAACGCGACTCTGCTTTCTCTGCACGAATTGTAGTATTCCTTACAGCGTTTTCTGTGAATGTTCCACAAGAAGGCTAAGGCTATGTACCCGATTGCGGAGCAATTTTTTACTACTGCAAAGGACGGTTAGAATCTAGCGCTATTTTATTCGGAAGAATGGTTTCAAACGTACTCATCCTACAAATTTTGGAATTTTATGCATAAGAATCTAGGCGGTCATGCTCAATGATGTCCACCTGATCAACCCTTTCAATCCCATTCCTGCTATACCTTGTTCGAAAGTACCAAAGTATTTGTGAGATAGATCGCACTTTCTCTTAATTCATCAAGAGCTTGCTCTCGAAGAGTCACGACCTTGCTATCAAAAGCTTAATCACGATTTTCCTCTGAAAGTCCAAAATGAGGAACAATAAATTAAAGTATCTTAACGCTATTCGTCCTAATCTGGTTGGCAGTCTCAATGACGGTTATGGTCATTCTACATCGTATGAACAGATTACTTGAATCTTTTCATAGTAGTGAAGTATGAAAGCAATTTATTCCTTGCAATTGTTCCAGTTGGTCTCCACAATTCACGCATACTGAGCTGTTTGCAACTAAATATCTCTGTCACCACACGTCTTGCAGGCGTACTTGTTAGAAAGTAATGTAGATGTTGAAGAAGTAGAATGGGGCGTGGTTGAATATTGATGGAAGGCGCCTAACGAGTGGATTCAGACGTACGTCGCTTGCGTCAGATCGACACTTATTCTTTACATTCTATTGCTTCACGTTTGATAAGTTATTCGATCATTGATCCGATAGCTGCATGCACAAAATTGGCTCTTGGATACGCAAACGAATGAGGTGACAACGAATAGCTCTCATCCAATGTTGCTGATACTAGTCTTTCTACTACACATCCATCTTTTATATTCTTTGCCAAATATGTATTTGTACGATTCACCAAGACGATGTGCAAATGATACGGAAATTATTGATCACTTATTATTTGACACGGCTCTGCATTATAACAAACACAAACTACCTTCGAATCCTGTCGATGTGCGTATTGAAATGTGGGTGCAAGAAGTGACCTCAGTGTCCGAGTTGACACAAGACTTTGAAATAGGTGAGACATATCATTGTTCTAATAATTTTTTTCTGTTCCGCTTCGATTATCATACTTTGAGGCGTACCACAGGAGAAACGAAACTGGATGCCTAATATTTTATAAGGAGTGTTTACTATGACGATAGACAGAATTGCCCAGACAATAAAGGGGACCCTGAAAGGGAGAGCAACCTTGATTTTGTTCTCGGAACCTCCTCAGAATAATCATAGACCATGTGTTAGTCCCACTACCTTTCAAATTAAAGAAACTTTGACTGATTTTTGAGTTTTGCCCGCGCCTGTCTTTTTTATTATGTCAAAAAGGGTTTTCCAGTGTGTACTTGCAGCTTTGGCGAAATCGGCGCCAAATTAAATGAAGTTTCGTCAGCGAGACGCGGAGGAAGGGGGAGGGGGTAGAAGAAGAGTGTGGAGATCCACAGGGGGTGCTGGCGGAATTTCATTAGGTCCGTCGAAGGTCCCGTGTTTTGGAGTTCGGACGAGAGGGTTGGCACGCGTTGACTTCCCGGCATTGAAGCGATGTTCAGTAAGCCTCCACCTACAGCAGTTGATTTCTGAAAAGCTGTCAGATGAATGAGGAAAGACTCCTTCAAAGGTAGGAAGAACATACTGCATTGGTTGAACCTAATCAGCGATAGTTTTTGGGGGAGCGAGTGCACCCAAGTTACTCGATAGATGGCAATTGTATTGTAAAGAAGCTGAATGTGAGATAATGAACTATGCTGAAACCATTCTAATTTGAGCAGCTTTTAATGCCTGAGTCAAGCGCAGGTGGGCTGGAAATATTAGGTTGATGCATAATTATTGCAGATTTTTTGCAACAAATTTTGTTCGAAGAAATGATAGAACTACTGAACAAAACCATACTCAAATAATTACTCCGAAACATATTCACCATCTACGTCAAGCACTGCTTCCCATTTGCTGGGTGTTCGTATTCCACACGCGATTAAGTTTCGATTCTCGGAGGCGATCCACGCTTTGACAACAGCTTTCAAGTCATCCAAATCGTCGTAGCTCCTATTCCCTAGCAGTCTTTCAACGAACGATTGACATGATAATCCATAAAATTCCGTTCCTCAGTTGGCTCTGGCTGAATGTTCCATCGCCGAGAAGCTATTGAGATCCTGGAATGACCCTGTCACCTTCCAAACTTTCTCGAAGTAGTAGAGCATAATTTTGCGAAGATGCGGTTGGTTTTCTAGACAAAATTTTGTAGAGTCATGGAGATCATTTCTATAAAAAACCCAAACTCAACGGTCAAATTATATCGAGAGAAAAGAATCGGCGAAAAAATCCGCAATAATTATTCATCAACCTGTTTTTCTTTGCTCCCATTAGATCAAGATACCGGTAGGAAACATCTCAACTTTTCGCTACTGAAAGACAACAGGGGAATGTAAGAAGAAAGAGTAGGAAAAGGGGCCTCTCAGACTACGTCACTGAGGCTCCCTCCTCCTGCATGGCATCAAAAGAAGAAAGCTCTTTCATCTCCCAAAGCTGCTTTTTGTCGTGCTGTTAGACTGAGATTTGATAATTTTCGAGCAGCTTTTTAATTGAGTGGCTTCACTATGTAGCATTAGTTCAGCTACTGTTGCACTTCCGCTTACATGCAAATTCAGTTCGAAGGGTTTTCACATAGTCTACATGGTTGCTGAAATATTTTGTATTTCAGATTTATATATGAACGAGTATTGGACTGATCCGGGACTGGCATACGCTATACTGAATCCATGTCAGGGGAATCTCTCATTCGATTGGACTGTCTTACAAAATATTTGGACGCCAAACACGTGCTTCGTGAATTCAAAGAAAGCGCAGATTCACAGTTCGCCTTTCAGGAATGTTTTTCTCATGGTTTTTCCCAATGGTAAGCTTTTATTCATTCCGGAACAGGACCGATATAACTTTTTCGCTGTAGAATTACAATTAGAAGATTTCAAGTCAAAAGTGCTGTTGTCTACTTCTTGATTTTTATATGGTCAGATAAGCTGCGAGCGAACGATAGACGGTATGATTGAAAAAAAGATTTTTGCTGCCACAGTCAAGCATGCTCGAGATGCGATGGATTCGTTAAAATCTACTTTTTTTCAAGATACATTGCTGACAGTCGTAACGGCTGGCTATTAAAACAAAGAATAAAATTTTATTAATGCGGGTAGAAAGAAAAAAGAAGACTTGATCTTTTCTGACCCTTTTAATGGAGTTTCTACTTATTCTTTAGCGTTTGTCCCGCTTGTAGGCGGGGTCCGCTTCTCTGATATGTTGATGCCACTTCTCCCGATTGAACGCTTGATCGGGGTGGATGTTAACCGCTTCAAGGTCTTCGTGCAAAGTATCGAGCCACCGCTGCTTTGGACGTCCTCTAGGCCGCTTTTCGGACACGTCAAGGTTGGGACCGATCTTACGGACACTGTCGTTCTTTGCGCGAAGAACATGACCATACCATCGTAGACGGGCTTCGCGCATTTTATCGACAATGGGCGCTACACCGAATCGCTCCCTGATGGCATCATTACTTATACGGTCTGGGCGTGTTACTCCGGGTGTCCAGCGCAGCATTTTGATCTCCATCACACTGAGACGGGCTTCAACTTCTTTGGTTGCAGGCCAGCATTCAGCGCCGTAAATAGCATCCGGCCGGATGACGGTTCTGTAGACCTTAGATTTGAGATGCTGAGGCATCTTCTTTTCGCAGAGTACGCCTGTAATCGAGCGCCCCCTCATCTACGCTGCATTCACGCGAGAATTCGTTTCAAAACCCAGGCTGCCGTAGACGCAATTGCCGATCCAAGGTACTTGAAGGTCGTTGTCCGTGTGAGCTCAGTGCCATTGATCTTGATAGAGCCTGGCTCACTAGAATCAGTGGTCAAGTACTCAGTCTTTTTGACGTTTAACCTGAGCCCGTACATAGCCAGACGGTCGGACCAGGTCTGCACCTGTGACTCGAGCTCGCTTTTGACTTCGCTGGCGGGCATCACGTCATCGGCATAAAGAAGCGTCCATGGAGCCGGCTTCTGGAGATCTTTTGTAATGGCATCCATGACGACAACAAAAAGTAGTGGGGATAACGCAGAGCCTTGGTGTACTCCAACGGAGATGGGAAATTCCGTCGATGTGCCCGCTGCCGTTTGCACTCGGCTCTTTGGGCTAGTGTATAGGATGCACACCCACTCAATGAGCTCTTCGGGAACGCCATGCTGTCATAAGGCATACCATGTAACGTCACGTGCCTTTTCCAAGTCGAGAAAGGCAAGATACGGTCTTCGTTTCTTGCGATGCTTTTCTAGAAGAAGGCGAGTGGCTTGTATGGCATCAATGGTGCTACAACCAGCTACGAAACCACACTGGCTAGTGGTCAGCTCGACAATATCACGGATATGGCTGTCTACAATTCGCTCAAAGATTTTCATGCTGTGCGAGAGAAAGCGAATTGGACGGTAGCAAGTGCAGTCCCCAGGACTGTCCTTCCTCTGCCAGATAGGAATTGTGGTGCTCTGTTGCCAGCTCTCAGGCACCTTCTCTGCGACGACCTGGTTGAAGAATTCCGTCAACCATCCTGCAGGATTCCAGCCTTTCGATT